TTAAAAAATGATGTGCCCCGTTGATAAGTCTGGAATGGTATAGTCACCTCAGGAGCCTGCCGCCTTATCCGGCTTCTGGTATAGGCTCAGGTTTCATCTAGGACCTACCAAACCGAACACGTCTCCCCTGAGTTTTACTGAGCTATGAATGGGCCCCCCACCATACACAGCTACTGTTCCCTGGTCAGTCCGTTGGCTCGGAAGTTGTGTACCTTTTAGATGAAGGAGTCAGTCTTCTTGGCGTGAGAGCTTGCTCAAGAAAGAGACCTTAAAATGATTATAAACGACAACTGAGTGTTTCTGAACAGTGACCATCTCAAAAATGTGGTGAAAAGACACGGTGGGGGGGGGGAGGTAACAGGGAAGTCCCCTGCCTAAGAGCCACTGGGAGTCTTTTGTGTTAATTTGTGCAACTGAGAAGGGAAATAAAACAGATAACATGCCTTATCTAAATATTCTTAGTTTTACTTCAGTTAGGAAAAGTATTCTGTCCATCAGCTTACGAATATGATTGGCTCTGAAAAACGGCAGGTCCAAAACTGACAACCGTCTAAAAAATTAGAACTGCCTCAGATGGCATAGATTAGTGTTTAGGAACCTAAGAGCTGGGCTGGATCAGACCATCTAGTCCAGCATCCTGCTTCACACTGTGGTCAACCAGGTGCCTCAGAGTGCCAACAAACAGGGCACAGAAGCTGAGAAGAAAAGAGGAGATTGGATTTATACCCCGCCCTTCACTCAGAGTCTCAGAGCGGTTTACAATCTCCTTTCCCTTCCCTTCCCCTCCCCACAACAGACACCCTGTGAGGTGGGTGGGGCTGAGAGAGCACTTCCGAGAACGGCTTTTTCAAGGACAGCTCTGGCAGAACTGTGGCTTGCCCAAGGTCATCCAGCAGCTGCAAGTGGTGGAGTGGGGGATCAAACCTGGTTCTCCCAGATTAGTGTCCGCCCACTTAACCACTACACCAAACTGAGGCCTGCCCCGAGGAAGTGTTCGGGATCCCCAGATCTTTTCATTTGGTTGGCTGTCAAGCAGAAAATTGGGGAGGGGGGGTGTTTGCCTGTGACCGAGCACCTGCTTTGGATTTCGAAGGCCCAGTTTCAGCCTCTGGCATCTGCAGTCGAAAGGATTGTGGGTAGTGGGTGCTGGGAAAGCCCTCGATCTGCCTGAAGCCTTGGGAGCTGCTACCAGTCAGCTGAGACAGCACTGAGAGAGCTGGCGGGACAAAGCGGCCCCATGGGTTTGCATGCTGGAAGACTCCCGGTCCTTTTGAGTGAAGTGCAGCAAAGTATTAGTCGAACTATGCCAAGTGGGAAAAAAATGATTTCCGGTTTTCACCCATGAGGAGGTTTGTTTGGTTTTTTTTTAAAGCTATTCAGATTCAAAAATGGTTGAAATGTGTTCCCTGCATCCTTTCCCTTTCCTTCTCTTCCCTGCCCCCCCCCCCTTTCTAGTCAAGTCTGAAGAGTTCTGGGGAACTCTGAAGCTTGCTTAATTAATTTGTGTCATTTATTTTGGTCTTTCCCATTGAAAGCAAATGAAAACCTTATATTTTGGGACAGAGCTGAGTATCTTCCTAATATTCCTTTAAATGTATTCAGAGCTGCAATTCTGTGTGTGTTTGCTTGCTCGTGGGGAAGTTCATTCAGTTGAACTTGCTTCCTGAGTAAACTTGCATAGGATTGAGCTGGTCCAGTATTTCTTAGTCACTGTATCATAAGTCTTATTCTAGATCTAACTTTAAAGTTTGGATATCTATTTTCTGCATAATTTTGTCATCCTGTGTTCTCATGTCATGTGCCCCTGTGGACAGAGAGTTGCACTTGCAGTTTTGAGTTCAAGTCCTGCCAAGTGGCGTCAGCCTCTGTTTTCTGCCTGTAAAAATGGTTATAATGGTAGACAATGTTCCCTCTAAGCTGTGGGGTCTTGTGAGCAAAAGTTCTACTTTCTGAGCTCCTGGCATTAAGGTTTGGAGCGAGCGACTGGGCTGCTGCATAAATCAGTTTGCTCTGGAGCCATCTTTCCTGAGCTAAGACAAAGATGCATGAGCCGGAGGCTAAAAAGCTGTGAGCTAGCTCACACCAACTCAGCTTAGAGGGGACACTGATGGTAGCCTACCTCACAGGGTTGTTGTGATGTCAAACAGAAATAAAGACTATATAAGTAGCTTCTTCGGTTTTTCTTTTATTGTTTCTTATACCCTGCATTTTTCCCTAGTGGGGAGCCAAAGTAGCTTATAACATTGTCCTCCCTCTGTCCACTTCATCCTCACAACCCTGTGAGGTAGGTTAGGCTAGTAGAGGGTGACTGATCCAAGGTCACCTGGTGAGTTTCCATGGCCGAGTGGGTATTTGAACCTGGGTCCTAGTCTGACACTGGCCGAATAATTTTAATTGCATTGTGTCATAGTGAATGCAGCCTTGTAGACAAGTATAGAGGGAAAGTATTTTTTTTTCTATTCTGTTTGAAAAGGAATTACGGGAGTGATGTGGGGAGTTGGAGAAGAAAAATCACCACAGTAGTAATTAAATACTTATAGGCTGCGGGCACACGGGCAGGAAGATGCGGCGGGGGAAGCGTGGCTGTTTGCCCTGGGGCTAAAAACCGCGCAGTTGCGCGAGCAGACCTACCATGGAGGTCCCGTGGTAGGGGGGAGGTGCTGATCACTCCACAGTCCTGCGGTGCGGCAAAGAAGCGGGGCACGGGGCAAACAGGGTTGGTTTTTTTTAAAAAACTCAAATGTGCGCATGCTCCCTTGGGTGCTTGTGCGCATCTGTGGAGACTTTGAAAAAAACCACCCTTTTTCCGAGGGGACATGGGCGGGCGCCGGAACTACCACCGGAAACGCGATCAGACGCCCGCCCTTGCCCCACGGTTTCAGGAAACTAGTACCTCCGAGGTACTAGTTTTTTACCGCGCATCTTCCGCGGGAAGCCTCGGGTTTGCCACGGGAGCTCGACGCTTCCCAGATGTGGCAGTGAGATCGTGCCCGGAAAATCCGCCTATCTTCCGTCCCTCTAGCATGCCTAATGCTCCGTGTGACCGCAGCCATAGTATGGCATTGTGTGTAGGTATGGCCAGGAGATCTTAAGATTGTATGGAAGCCAGACGTTCTTGCTCTTTAGTGTTATGCGCCACTAGGTGGTGAGCTAGACTTGTTTTTGAGGCAAGAGACATTTCAGACGTGGTTTGTGCCATTGCCTGCCTCTGCATCACGCCCCTGGTATTCCTTGGAGGTCGCCTGTCCACATACTGGCTATGGCTGACCCTGCTTATCTTCCAAGGTCTGGCGAGATTGGGCTAGCCTGGGCCACCCAGGTCAGGGGATCACATCACCGACCCAGAATGAATAACTACCTGCCCTCGTATGGCTTAAGTTAGAGGCAGTGTGGGATCGTGGGCAGTGTGCTGGGCTGTGGCCGTTCAAATTCCCACGCGCCAGGGAAGCTCAGCGGATTACTGTTAGCTACCGTTACTGAGTCTAAACCCCCCCCCCCCAACACAGTTGTTGTGAGTAGCAGGGAACAGGGCCTTTGAGTACCTCAGCTGCGGAATAGAAGTGCTCCCATTTGGAAGCCAAGGTGGAGGGAAGAAAAGGAGATTGGATTTATACCCTGCCCTTCACTTGGAGTCTCAGAGCGGCTTACAAACTCCTTTTCCCTCCCCCTCCCCACAACAGACACCCTGTGAGGTGGGTGGGGCTGAGAGAGCTCTTGACAGGAACTGCTCTTTTCCAAGGACAGCTGTGCCAGAGCTTGTGACTGACCCAAGGTCACATCAGCAGGTGCAAGTGGAGGAGTGGGGAATCAAACCCGGTTCTCCCAGATTAGAGTCCGCACACTTAACCACTACACCAAACTGGGAAAACCTCTGAATGGATACGGCCTTTCGGTTTCTGCTTCCTGCGACATTCTGTGCTGCTCAAAAAAAAAGAAAAAAAGATGTGGTTGGAAAAAGTAAGCCACGGTTTGTTGAAGGGCTCTTAGCCAATTTCTCATGGGCTATCTAAAGACTCCCGGGTACTGGAATCTTTGCAGAGGATGTGGACTCTGAGAATTGGTTCTTTTTGTATGTGTGAACCTCCTCTTAATCTCATCCACAACTGAAACTAAGCCTTGGTATGTTCTTCCTCTCCCCCACCTCCCCAGCCCTATTCCTCTTCACCGTCTTCTCTCAGCTCCTCTGTGTCAAGTTGTGGGTAATGTGAATGTTTATGGTGCTGTGTTAATAAACAACACTGCCACAGGAAGTGGTGTCGGCTACAAGCATGGATGGCTTCAAAAGGGAATTAGATAAGTATATGGAGTAGAGGTCCATCAGTGGCTATTAGCCACAAGGTATAGATAGGGACTCTGGGGCAATGTGATGCTCTGGCTTCTTGGTGCTTGGGGTGGGGGTCAACAGTGGGAGGGCTTCTAATGTCCTGGCCCCACTGGTGGACCTCATGATGGCACCTGGTATTTCTGGCCACTGTGTGACACAGAGTGTTGGACTGGATGGGCCTTTGGCCTGATCCAACATTGGCTTCTCTTATGTTCTTAACAGCAATATAAAAGATGCGACACTGAAATGCTGCAAAGCACATGCTTGGTAGCAGTTGGGCTTTAGGAGAGGAAAAAACCAGGAAACAGATTCTTTTTAATAAAAGAAGAAAAGAGAACATGCCTCTACGTTTACGGGGATGGCTTTTATTCTAGGGAATCATGAGCATTAGTCAGCTTTCTCTCTCTGGTGAGGAAGAAGCAAATAATTTATAGCAATTAATCATCACCCCTCTTGTTCTAACAGTCTTAGTCTGACGATGCACACATTTCTCCTTCTGTGTGGCTTTCCTGATGTAAAGCAAAGCTCGCGCTCTCTCCGCATGGAGGGAAAAGCTGAGATTTCTCCTCCGAATGACCTCCCTCGTGTCGGATGAGATTTGACCTCCGATTGAAGCTCTTCCCACAGTCAGAGCAATTGTATGGCTTCTCTCCTACGTGGGTCCTCTGATGTCGGAGGAGGTGGGATTTCCGATTGAAACTCTTGTTGCAGCTGGCGCAAGCGTATGGCTTTTCTCCCGTGTGCGTCCGCTCGTGCCGAATGAGGTTGGAGGTCTGATTGAAGCTTTTCCCGCAGCGCGAGCATTTGTACGGCTTCTCTGCCATATGCGTCCCCTCATGCCTTGTGAGGTGCGCCCTCCGACTGAAGCTTTTCCCGCAGGCTGAGCATTTGTACAGCTTGTCTTCCGTGTGCGTTCCCTTGTCCTCGAGGGGACGCAAGACGTTTCCGTAATCTTCCAACAAAGTCCTGCTCGGGTGGTGACTTCTTTCGTGCGCCCTGAGGTCTGAACTTTGGTGGAAGCTCTTGCTGCATTTGGAGCACTGGTAGGGTTTCTGCCCCGTGTGGATTCTCTTGTGCCTTATGAAACTGGAGTAATTGCTGAACGATTTCTCACAGTCCGAGCATTTGTATGGTTTCTCCCCTGTGTGGATTCTCTCGTGGATCTGTAGTTCGGGTCCCCAGCTGAAGCTTTTCCCACAGACGGAGCATGAGTATGGTTTCTCCCCCGTGTGGGTCCTCTCGTGTCTGATAAGATTCGAGCTCTGATTGAAGCTTTTCCCGCAAACGGAGCACTTGTATGGCTTCTCACCTGTGTGAGTTCTCTTATGCAGGATAAGGTGGGAGGAGTTTCTGAAGCTCTTCCCACAGTCGTGGCACCGAAATGGTTTCTCTCCCGTGTGGGTCCTCTCATGTATGATAAAGTGTGCCTTATTTCTGAAGGTCTTCCCACACGTGAAACACCTGTAGGGTTCCTTCCTCACATGGGTCCCCTTTTTTCCTCTGAGGTCTGAGTTCTCGCTTAATCCAAAGCCACTTCCTTCTTTCTCACCTTCGTGGGTCCGCTGGTGCCTAATGAGGCTCGACTTGAGACTGAAGGTTTTCCCACACTCTGTGCAGGTATGCGGCTTCTCCCCTGTGTGGGTCTTCTTGTGTCTAACGAGGCTCGATTTTTCATGAAAGCTTTTCCCACAGTCCGTGCAAGTGTGGAGTTTCTCCCCCACATGTACCACGAGGTTTGAATCCAATACGAGGATCTTTCCGCACTTGAAAATCCTCTCACGTACATCGCTTCCATCACGGGTCGTGTCATCCTCCCCCCAAAGAGGCATCTTCTTCTCCACCAACATTGCTGGATGGATTCGGCCCTCCCTTTCCACTCCATCCTGACCCTCCAACGTTTCTCCCTTCTCGTAACACTTGGAAATGAGCCCTTTGACACTTCTGAGCGATGTCCCATTTGGGCCGTCTTCCTCAGAAACACAGAGGTGAAGATTCTTGCTCGACAGGCCGTTTCCTGTTGGAATAAAATATCACCGTTATATGTAAGAATCCAATTACCAATATTCTAGCTAGGGCAGCCCAGAATTATGGCTATGAGGAAGTCTTTCGTTTCCTGTTCATTTCTTTTAAGGACCACCTGGAAATGTGGAGAAGAGGAGGAGGAGATTGGATTTATACCCTGCCCTTCACTACCCAAAGGCGTCTCAGAGCGGCTTACAAACTCCTTCCCCTTCCCCTCCCCACAACAGACACCCTGTGAGGTAGGCGGGGCTGAGAGAGCTCTTGACAGAAACTGCTCTTTTTCAAGAACAGCTCTTATCAGAACTACGGCTTGCCCAAGGTCATCCAGCCAGGTGCAAGTGGAGGAGTGGGGAATCAAACCCGGTTCTCCCAGATTAGAGTCCGCACACTTAACCACTACACCAAACTGGCTCTGTATGTGGCAGTCCCACCTACGTGAGGAAGCTGAGCTACGGCCTTCTCTCTGAAGCTGAAGGACCACATAGGGAGCAATTCTAAGCGGATCTATGAATCCTAAGGTCTATTACTCCCTGGAGTAACAGACCCCCTTAGTTTGTTCAGGCTGGCTTCCAGCCTCAGCCTCTGAGATTCCCTTTTCAAATCCTTGCTGAATCACAGAATCATTCATTCATTCAATTTATACCCCGTCCTCCCCGCCGAGGCAGGCTCGGAGTGATTTACACAAAAAGTAAATACATAAATAACTCTTGAATTTATCATAAAATCATCTAAAAACAGTTCCTTTTAAAACAATTCAATATCGTAAAGTGATAGCAGTGTCTGTTTTAATACAATTGCTTAATGATGACGGAATGCATTCAGTGATCTATCTAGATATTCAGCTCATTGTTCTTCCCCTGATATAATTGGCAGGCACAGGCTGTAGATGGCAAAACCGGGTGCCAGGGCTCTATAACTTTCAGCTGTTGCTGGTGGTGGCAGCTCCTTAGTTGATGGCCTGGTGGAAGAGCTTTGTCTTATAGGCCCTGCGGAACTGTAAAAGGTCCCGCAGGGCCCTGATCTCTTCTGGGAGCTCATAGAATCACAGAGTTGGAAGGAGCCATACAGGCCATCTAGTCCAACCCCCTGCTCAATGCAGGATCATCCTAGGCCCAAGGCGTTTCCCCTTACCTGCTACCCTTCTACAAGCAGGAACAGTTAAGAAAAAAAGGAAAGCATTCAAATGTGAGGTCTCCCACTTACAGTCTGAAGTGGGAGAGTCATAAGAAGGCTGTACCTTGTGATTTCTCCAGATATCAGGCACATTTCTTACCTGAGACAGCAACTGCAATAGACTCTTTTCCTTCCCATTCTTGGTGGTATTCTGAGAAGCTGGGCTCTTCTTGTTCCACCTTTATGATCACATCTGGGAGCCCTGATGAGGAGAAGGGAAGGAAAAGGAGTGGGTAATTGCATCTGATTTTCCAGAAGGGCAGATCTAATTGTTTTTGTCACAATGCCAGGCATTCTCCTGAATAACCTGGAAGCTCTTTTGAGGGCCAAATGATACACAGTTCTGGAGTTTTTGAACAGAACAAAAGGTGTGTGATTTGGCCTCAGAAAGAAGCTTAAGATTGATTATTGTGGATGTATTTTGAGAACGTCCAGTATTGGGAAGTGACCATTTCTAATGTTTATGGGGTAATTTTTTGTAGTTTTCAACATCATTTTCAGAATCAGAGAGATTCTTTTTAACTTCTGTTGTTGGCTGCCCTGAGCATGTTGATTGGGTAGGCTATCTGTGTTAAACAGATAAATAACTGGAGCCACAGAGCTTGGGAAAGAGAAAGAGTTAACTCTTTCCCCCTTTACCATTTTTTTGGAAACTGCCCTCCCCTAGGCTGCCTGAAGCTGTGACTGAGAAAAAAAGACACTAAGGGCACCTGTCTTTTTTTTCTCTACCTAGGTACAAAGCAGGCTGGGGGGTGCACTCCTGATTGAGGAAATGGCATTGCAGAGAAGAGTTAAATTCCCTGTTCCTCTCTCACAGTGGGCGCTTTGACACATGCTAAATAACGCAGTTTCAATCCAGCAACCTTTTGCAAATGGATTTTGCCATTTCACACAGGTGTCTTTCACCCTGTACCCGCCTTTCAAGTTGTCCCTGCTGTTACTGTGGTTTAAACTGTCATGCTTTTGTTGTGACAAGTTCACACTCACACTTTTTCTCATTTTTTCCCCATCAGGGTTCTGTCCATTATTGTTCACAGTAAATCAATTTTTGTGTGTGTGTGTGTGTGTGTGTGTGTGTTTTTAGCAGCAACCCAGTAAGCTCAAAGGGGCTGCATTAAAGACCAGTCTCCTCCCCTCACCTGTCACCTGAGGCTTGCACCTGGAGCAGGTGTCTCTACACTGATTGGTGCTCTGTCTTCCTGTGGTAGAGCGGGACCTCAGATTGGCTTCCCCCCAGGGTCTGAATTCCTTTACTTGACTTGCATTAGGTGAGCGACTCACTGCATCATGCCACAGCAAGGATAATGGCTGATCACACTTATTTTACTCCAGCAGCTGATGATGCTTGTTTCTGAAAGCAGCCTAAGATTGTGCATTACTTATCAAAGAAGTGCCTGCAGGAGGTACCGCCTCTTGTGACAGAAACAGGCATGCATGTGTTACTACAGAGATTCGAAAGGCAAATCCATGCACTGCAAAAATGATTTTGAAAATGCCGCCCAAGGTCCAAAAGAAATGTGCTCTTGAGTGCGAATGGAGAAATGTCAAGGAAGGCGATGACTGGCTGCTGGTCTTGGGCCTCCCTAGGGGGACAGAACTTTTTGCCAGCGCAGGGGCTTCTCTGAAAATGTTGAAATGCTGGCATGCAAACTAAAAATTTAAAAACTGCCCAAGACTGCTCCTTAAGAGCAGGCTTCAGTTGGCGGGTCCTCTCATGTATGATGAAGTGTGGGAGAAAGCAGGGATTTTTTTTTAGGAACGGGGAAGGAATGAAACAGCAGTGGGATGTTTTCAAGGCTGTGTGAACACACACAAAACACACACATTTACATCAAGTAATGTAAGTGGGGTTTTAAGTCAATGTGAAACCCCCCACAGTAAAATCCAGCTGCAAAGTGCTTTGAAAGTGCGTTATTTAGTGCATGCGAAAGCACCCAGTGTCACAGCCATAGTTCAGTTTGGGCCCCTCTTGGGTTGCTTCTCAGAGCCAAAGAGCGTGCCTGGAGTCCTGATCTCATTCTGTTTAATCCTTAGGCTCAAGCCATGCAAGATTTTTCATGTTCTGATGACCGGACTCTCATTCCCTGCAGCCAGATGACAGGTGAAGGGAATTTATTTCCTCAAGAACTGCAGGGCCCAATTCTGATGGGGAATCACATTGCAAGACCGTGGCACAAGACCTAAAATGGCCCTGATGGCGTTATTGGCTCTACAATGGAGCAAAAAGGACCCCCAGGCCATTATTTCTCTTTCTTTACTATATCTAGAGTAGAGATGTAAAATTTCCGGAAATTTTGAAGCTCGGAAAAAAAACTGTTTTTTCCCCGGAAAAAAATGGAAATTTTCGGAAAAATTGAAAAAATGCGACATTAGCATTTCTTTTGTCTTTTCTAGATTGAAAGTCATTCTGTTACTTTAGGAACATAAAATATGACTATGGACATTTTTACTTGGCATGAAATTATCACAACTAGCCTATTAAAAACATAGTGTATCCAAACAATTATTACAAACAGAATACCCACCCACATGCAAAAACAAAACTGAAACTTTTTTATTTTCTTCTGACAATCGCACATCCTAAAGGAAGAAATGCATTCTGTTCTTGCATTGCAGAGTTCAGTTTGTAACCTAGGACTTGCTTGTCCTCAGTACACAGAAATTAGATCAATCTGATACCATATATATATATTTTAGAAATGATTTGGAAAATATTTGAATACCCTGTCTTAAAATATTTTATTCATCATGCTAAAATAAAACGTTCCATAATAAAAAAAAATTCTTTTCTTTTCTTTTTTCAATTTTTCCAATTTTTCCGGAAAAAAACAAAAAGGCTTCAGGAAAAAAAGGAAAAAAAAACATTTTTTTTCTGAATTTTTCCGGTTTTTTTCCAGGCCTTGACATCTCTAATCTAGAGTCTGCTTTTCTCACTGAGACTCAAGGCGGATTATGCACTATAAACTGATGCCACCAATAGGATGAGACATCTAATAAGCAGTGTAATGGGACTAGGATTTCAGAAATCTGAAAACAAGGCATGGAGACATGATATAATAAATGCAGAAAACAGTAATATATAAATCGAAAACAATGCAGTGAGAGCGCGATAATACATACAGCAAAGATCAGGTCTTAAAAACAGTCAAGTTTCAGGACACATGTTGAACCTTGGTGTGGGGGAAGGCCATCAGAAACGCTCACACTGTATTTTTATTTTCATATTTTACACCTCCTTTTTGCCTCAATAGAATGCCAGAATTTCTATAGACATAATAAACCCTCTGAAACTAAACTAGCAAAGAGGTCATCACAAAAAGGGTGGGGTGAGGTGTCTGAAGCTTCTCCCCCTCTTAACCCATGGTTCCGATCCAAGTCAAGCCCGGTGGCAATTCTGAAAGTAAGTCCCCAGCAGTTGCTGTCAGGCTGCAAGGAACATGAGTCACAGAACTGCCTCGTGTAGGCTGGGCTGCAGGTGCATCATGGGATATCCTCACCTGTGCTGTTGTCTGAGGCAACCTCATTTTCCTCCGGTCGTGGATGACCTGGAACGGCTGGTTTTTCTTCTTGTTCAAGCCAGGATGTTCCATTGACTTTGGGACTGGGAAACTCTGCTCAGAAAGAAAAGGGGTATCTTTAAATTGGAAGCAACTTGGTACTTGCAGTACATTAGGCAGACCACAGGTGTTGAACACATTTGTCATGAGGGCCGGATCCCACATAAATGTCACTTTGTCGAGTCGGGCCATGTGTGCCATAAAACGTAATGCCAGGTACCGGAGACATAAAGTGTATAAAGGACAGCAGCGGGTAAACTCCGAGTCAGTGTATCCTCGCTGCAAGGCCCCATGGGCTGGGGGGGGGGTGTGTGTGCAAAGGAAAACCCATATGAGCGGACTGGAGAGCCAGCAGTGCAGCACTGGGCAGACACTCCCACATGGCTTGACTGCTGCAAACGAGGCCTTTCTGAAGCCGCAATCAAAGTCGCTCCTCCCACTCCCCCCTCAAGCAGTCCCCTCCCTTGTACTAGTTGCTCGTGGGCCACCAGGAGCCCTGGGCGGGCCAGTTCCGGGCCCGGGGCCTTATGTTTGACACCCCTGATGTAGATGCTTCACCCATAAACATAGCAGAGATATGTTCTATGTTTTACAAAGAATAGAGGGTTTGTGCCAGCTGGCCCGGGAAAAAAAAGTCCTGTCTCTTTAATAGTGGCGGAATGTGTGGAAATGCATTGGTGAAGCTTTGTATGGCATGGAGGGAAACCCTATCATCAGGTATCTGCGACAGGTGAAAGGGACAGATAGAGGGACCAGTTTTAAAAGCTGTCACCCCTAGTGTGGTGAGGTGGTTAGAGAATCAGACTAGGATTTGGGAAAAGCCAGGTTCAAATCCTGCCCTTCCCCAAGCTTACTGAGTGACCTGGGCTGGTCACTCTCTGAAACAAACCTACTTTGTAGGGCTGTTGTGAAGATAAAGAGGTGAAAAGGACAACCTCCCTGAGCAACTTGGAGGAAGAAAGGGATGGGGGGAAATGTGACGGAGACTAACGGTTGCAGAAGATGCCAAATCGCACAGGTTTCTTTCCGCAGAACAAACACCACAAAATATTTTGCTTGAATTAATAAAAGGATCACAGAGACCATTTGACAGAAAGTTCTCTCTCACTGGGGGGGGGGGTTAACCGTTCCTGTGGGCCATCATGCCTCAAACTGAAGATGAATGTTCAAATAACCGGGGGGGGGGGGGGGGGGGGGAGAATCCCTCCACTTCAAAAATAGAGGGAAGGCTTCTAGCCTACTTTGTTCCCTGACATGCTAGTTTTCTAGGTGTAAGGATTTTTTATACTTTGGTTTTATTTCAAATTTTCGATAGGTACAGAAATATCTAGTATATGAAGGAACATTTAAACATAGGAGAAGTGGAAAGAAGACTCATTTCTTTTAAGGAATTTTACTTCTTTTAAGGGAAAAAGAACACTGTCTGTGAAGCCCGAACTCTGCTAAACAAGCCATTTAGTGAGTTCAAGGCATAAGCAAGATTCAAATTGGGAATGCTCAGCTTTTTAATCTATTTAATGAATTTGTATCTTACCTGAGGAGACTCCTGGGAAGCTCTTATTTCCCTCAGAGCACTGAGGGTGTGAGTCTTCCTCTTCCTTCTTCATGATAACATCAGGAAACCTGAGAAGAAAAAGGTGATATTTAGACCATCCAAGCAGGATATTTAGACCATCCATGGATTTCTTCGTGGGAACTGATTGATATAACATGATAATTTGGTCCTTCATTCTGAGCAGTGGTCATTGGTTGAGGCTGTAGTCACTGAGGGATGAAAATAAATGCTTGTGTAAACTGGCCCCAGAGAAAACGCCTAGGCCAGCCCAAACAGGTCCTGTAGGAGTTTTTTCCCACTCAGTGCCCTGCCCTTCTGGTCGGTCTGTTGGGCCCTTAACTTCTTATTCCCTTTCCTGTTGCCTCAGCACTCTGCCTTTAATTTCTTGCCATTGCCTCCCAGGGCACTCTCCACAGCATTCCCAAAATCATCAAACTCACTTCTGCCTCTACCCTCCTATTCTGCCATCCCTTGCAGCAGTTGGAATTCTTGAGAGCATTCCGTGACATCAGCCTAGCCAGGAGCAATGAACTCATACTTAAACACTGCCTTATACGGAGTCACTGGTGTATCAAGGTCAGTATGGTCTCCTCTGGCTCCGGGGCTTTAGGCAGAAGTCTTTCACATCACCTCCTAGCTGATCCTTTTTTAAAAAAACTGGAGGTTTCTGGGACTGAACCTGGGACCTCCTGCATGCAAAGCAGGTGCTCTGCTACTTGAGCCACAGCCCCACCCCAGAAGATGCAGAGCCAGGGGACAGCTTGCAAACATGCAATCAAGCAACAGCCAAGTTCTGACTTTTTTACACGGAAGATGGTGGTGGATTTGACTTGGAGAAAAATGGGCCCATTTGTTAAGGGAAACTCCCTACCCCTCAGTAAGGATGTAGGTGGCAAAAGGGTGGCTACGTTTTTGTTCAAACTGAGGCCCTGTAGCCATAAATCAACCTTTCCTGGTACTTTTTTGAGATTTGGCTACTTCAACACACATTGTGGAGGGTGGTTAATTTGGAAGCTATGAGGGGGTTGCAGCCGTCAGCTGGTCTTCTCCTGAGTCAGTTGCCATTTCAAAGGTATTGTACCCTCACAGCTCTATAGAGTCAGAACCATGGTTCTTACTGTGCTTTTGGCACTTGGTATGAGAGCCAAGAGGTCTGGGTTCTGCTGAGATCTGGGTTCGAAACACTGATAAACTTATCTCGGGCTAGTCACTCTCTCATGCACAAGAACGGTCTCCCAGCCCGCGTCACAGGTCTGTTGTGAGAATGAAATGGGAATACTTCAGAGAGCCTGCTCTGAGCTGCTTGGAAGAGTGGGGTGAAGAAAAATATGGTTAATATATCTGGAAGCTTGAGCCTTAAATTATCCTTAATGACCCTGGGTCCTACATATGACAGGAAATGCTATCTTGCCCTACTCAGGAGAGGGACCATGGGAATATTCCCTCACATTTTGGTTGGGGGGGGATTATTATTTGCCCCTGTTTTGCCCTCACAACAACCCTGTGAAGGAGGTTAGGATGAAAGGCTGACTGGGCCAAGGCCATTAAGCTTTGTGCCTGAGGGGGTATAGCAGTTGTTAACACAGTGGCCTGAGATGATATGCTCTGATCAATGCAGCCCCTGGCCCAAATCTTGTCCCTGCCATGAACTCAGGGCCAAGCTATGCATTTGTGTTTTTAAACAGTTGTATCTAGGTTGCCTGGACCCACCTTGGGTTCCCTGCAGCTTCTGTGTGGCTGTGCAGAACCCAAGGTGGGTTCAGACTGTTGGGTATTGTAACCCTGCATGCAAGAGGATCTGGGAGGAAAAGGGTTAAGAGAATTTTCTCAGGTACACTTGGCAGTTGGCCCCAACCCTCTCATAGGTTAGATGTCGAGCCCTTGCTTGCCTTCGGTGTTTTATCTTATATAGGACCTCTTTTCTTTGACCTGGGCTTGGGAGCTGTAGCAAGATAACCTTTTTGAAGTTTATCTATTCACAATAAGTTAAATGCACCTACATGAATACGTCCTGTAAGATGTGCTTCTATTTTTGTTAAGTAAAAATTTCTTTTTCTTGCTACCATTGGAGTCAGACCGTCTTTGTACTCTGTTTGAACAGCATTTCCCCTTTACCTGGGAAAACATGGAGGATTGGGATACTGCATAAAGCAAATGATATTTTTTTTTTACATTTAACCCAATACAGGGAACTCCATGTGACATATTCTGTGCATGTGGAACAGCAAAAATATGGAAACACACACCCAAGTGCTGTTTCTATGAGGGAAAACTGCTGGGGGGGGGAAACAGCAGCCCTCCCCTCCATGATAGTATTCCAAATGTCCTTTTAAAAAAAAAATTGTTTCCTGCAGCTAGGGGGATCCTGAAAACAACTCTTTAAAAGCATACAAGTAGATTGGATTTATACCCTGCCCTTCCCCTCCCCACAACAGACACCCTGTGAGGTAGGTGGGGCTGAGAGAGCTCTGAGAGAACTGCTCTTGAGAGAACAGCTCTGAATGAACTTGTAACTGACCCAAGGTCACACCAGCAGCTGCATGTGGAGGAGTGGAGGAATCAAACCTGGTTCTCCCAGATTAGAGTCTGCACTCCTAACCACTACACCAAACCGGCTCTAAGTGTAGTCAGGGGCTCACCCTGTGGCCTTAGGCAAACTGCTCTCCCCCAGCCTCACTTGCAATGCAGGGGTAACAAAATTTGTCTGCTTCACAGGGCTGTTGTAAGGATGACAACAAAATGCTGCACTTGAAACAATCTGAACAAAGATACAGTGATATCAGTGTTCTAAGTGCTTCATGTGTTTTGATCATTCTTACTCTATTAATATTACTTGAACCAGCGTTTCCCCAATCTAAGTCAAGCGGCTGCAACAGACTAAGAGTGCTTTCACATGCAGTGGATAATGTACTTCCGGTGCACTTTAGTGATCGTTTGCAACTGAAGCTTAGAACATAAGAGAACATAAGAGAAGCCCATGTTGGATCAGGCCAATGGCCCACCCAGTCCAACACTCTGTCTCACAGTGGCCAAAAATACCAGGTGCCATCAGGGGGTCCAGCAGTGGGGCCGGGACACCAGTGTGAAAAGGAAAATCCACTTGCAAAACAGTCACCAGAGTGCATTGACAGCGCATTATTCAACATGTGCGGAGGCAGTCTAACTCTCTGAGCTGTGTCTGAGGGGTACGCCGCCTGTTTTGTACGGAAAAGATCCTTGATCTCAGAGAGAGGGATGATGGGAAAGACCTTTCTCTGCATTAGCCCCTGCAGAACCACTGACGGTACTGAAGGAGGATAACCAGCCTGCCTCGGTCTGACCCCCGGCATCCCCAGGTGAACAATCTCAAGCAGTGGGTGCTAGGAGAGATCCTCCTCTGCCTAAGGCTGTACCAGGCTGATTTGCTATCACAACCACCACAAAAGAACCATAAATATAGGTGCTGAAAGTTGCCACTTGAAGACATATATCTAAACAAGATTTAATATAAGATCGACTTAATAAGAATGATATAATTACTGTGTGTGACTTGATCTGGACTGTCCAGGCTAGCCCAATTTCATCAAATCTTGGAAGCTAAGCAGGGCCTGTCCCAGTTAGTACTTGGACGGGAGACCCTCAAAGAAGTCCAAGGTCAGTATGCAGAGGTAGGCAAGGGCCAAACCACTTCTGCTTAAACACATGCCTTGGAAACACTATGGGGGTCACCAGGCATGTTGGCTGCGACCAGTGTTCCCTCTAAGCTGAGCCAGTGTGAGCTAGCTCACAGTTCTTTAGCCTCCGGCTCACACATTTCTGTCTCAGCTCAGGACGGAGGGCTCCAGAGCAGTGTTCCCTCTAAGCTGAGTTAGTGTGAGCTAGCTCACAGTTTTTTAGCCTCTGGCTCACACATTTATGTCTTGGCTCAGCGAGGAGGGCTCCAGAGCAAACTAATGTATGCAATAGCCAAATCGCTCGCTCACAACTTTAAGGCCTTTAACTCACAAAGTAGAATTCTTGCTCACAAGACTCCGCAGCTTAGAGGGAACATTGCTCCAGAGCAAACTAATGTATGCAATAGCCAAATCGCTCGCTCACAACTTTAAGGCCTTTAACTCACAAAGTAGAATTTTTGCTCACGGGACTCCACAGCTTAGAGGGAGCACTGGCTGCGACTGCATACATCGGTGTGCTTGGAAAGTGTGGTCAAGTCACCGCCAACTTATGGAGACCCCCCACAGGGCTTTCAAGGCAAGAGATTAACAGAGCTGGTTTGGCCACTGTCTGCCTCTGCAAAGTCCTACCACCATGCACAGACCTAGATCATCTAGTAACTTTCTTCGGAGGATTTTTACGAATGTCAACGGGAGAAATTTTATACCCCTGCATATTAAATAACAGCAAAGGTCATTTAGCGTGTCCCACTAGGCAGCACAGAAATGTTTTAAACACATAAACAAAAGTAAACTGGCTTGAGTATATAAACCTTCCGTAGAGGTTGTTGGAAGGTACTTTCTACAATTTATTGGTAAAAGATCATCAACAAAACGTTAAGGCTGTAAATCAGTGTTCCCTCTAAGCTGAGTCAGTGTGAGCTAGCTCACAGTTTTTTAGCCTCCGGCTCACACATTTTTGCCTTAGCTCAGGAAGGATGGCTCCAGAGCAAACTAATTGATGCAGTAGCCAAATCGCTCACTCGCAATTTTAATGCCAGTAGCTCACAAAGTAGAATTTTTGCTCACAAGACTTCACAGCTTAGAGGGAACTTTGGCTGTAATATTCCTCTTCCCTCCAAAGTAATTCTGCTATGCTATTTAGAAGATGGTTGTCAATGGATGAGGTACAGAACTGGTGATAAGATTTGAAAATCGTAGCTACATTTGAAAATAGCAGCGGCTTACTGGAAGGAAACAAAGTCCCGCCAGCCTGACGAAGGGAGCCCTGACTTGTGAAAGCCAGTGCTGAAATACATTTTGTTACTTTCTGGGATGCCACCAGATTGTTGGGGGGGAGGTTTCCCTCTCCCCATGAGACAGGTGTCATATCAGGAAAATATTCTTATCACCAGGGCCAAAGGAACAGTTCTGAGGACGCAGACACATTTGTGGAAAGATGAGTATCGTTCATCGCGTTTTGAGGAAACAAAGTATAAGATGGGGGTTTACCTTTGCTTTCGGTGTCCTGCAGAAACTGATCTCGTTCTCCCAATGTATTCATTTTACTAAAATGATGAAAACGAAAAGGAAGTCGCAGATTCACTTGGGCACCTCCAGTCGAAAGATCTCAGCTAGCAATGCTAGGAGGGGTCCCTCTGCCTGAGACCTTCTTAGCAAGCCCCTGCCAGCCAGGACAGGCGACTGCTGGGCTAGTCGACCTGCCACGGTCTAAGTCATCTCCCTCTGATACAAGCACCTGCTTTACTGTGCTGAAGACTGCAAGTCCGAGCCCTGGCGTCTCCACTTAATGTGTCTCGGGAAAGACCCCTTTCTCGGCCTGAAGACACCCCCCCCAAAGCTGCTGCCAGCCAGAGGAACCCAAACTCAGCAAGATGGAGCAACGGGATCTGACTCCACACTAGCAACTCTCTACCATATGGCTGCCTCCCCCCCCCCCCGCCGGGACCGAATTTGCTCACCTGCTCAGTTCTTCTCCTTCCCCATCTGGCCCCCTCCTCCTCGGGCAGGAGGACTCCCCCGATGCCTCCTCCTCTGCAGCTTCCAGGTGTTTTGTTTTGGGTGCTCCCGCTGGTTGCTCATTCCTTTCCGCTTCCCATCACTTGACTGAAGCAACAGGAGCCAAGCCAAGCCCTACTAATCCGAGATCAGAGCTCATAGATGGGGGAGGAGGGGAGGGGAGGAGGGATCTGGAGGGGAAGAGAGGGAGGGAGCATCATCTCTTCTGCTTCCCAGTACCTTCAAGACACGGAGATCCAGTGCATCGGGCCAAACCCCTTGAAACCAATGGAACTAAAGTGTGCAAGATGTTTGCACTGGCTTTAGTGGTTTGTTTCCACACACACACCCCCGGAAGGATTTGAACCTCGGAGATGCAGCAGTTCTCTCCATTACAGATGTGAATGGCAGCTCTTGTCTGCTGTCTCTGCCCCCCCCCCCATCTACCACTCATCTCTTTTGAATCAGACAACAATTAAGGTCTCCTCCGCTTGCTCAGGAGCTGATGCTCAAGGGGTTAAACAGGCAGAGTTCTCTCCTTCCTAGAGAGGGACAGAAAAATGCAGGGGGGGGGGGAGGCAAGTTCTTTCTTGCTCTGCCCCCTCCTGTTAAAGCGTGGGTCTTTCAGGCCTGACCTGGAAGGCCCAGGCTAGCTGGATCTCATCAGGTCTCAGAAGCTAAGCAGGGTCAAGCCCATTCTGCATCTAGCATTCGCTCCGTTGTTTTACCAAACCCACGCTGATCGCAGAGTCACTCGTGAAACAGCCATAAATCTTTGCAGACAGTACCGTAAAACCGAGAGATCAAAGGAAGTGAAACTGGCATGCAGTGTGGAGGCTACAATACAAGAAGGAGGAGGAGGGGGAGATTGGATTTATACCCCTCCCTTCACTCGGGCTTACAAATTCCTTTCCCTTCCCCTCCCAACAACAGACACCTTGTGAGGTGGGTGGGGCTGAGAGAGCTCTTGACAGAAACTGCTCATTCTCAAGGACAGCTCTGACAGAACTATGGCTTGCCCAAGGTCATCCAGCAGCTGCAAGTGGAGGAGTAGGGGAATCAAACCCGGTTCTCCCAGATTAGACCCCCGCACACTTAACCACTACAATAAAACCCGACAATCGAAGAAAGTGAAAGTCGCATGCAACGTAGAGGGGAATTTCTGTTCCAACATGGATTTGGTAGAACAGCGGAGCAAATGCTAGATGCAGATGGGTCACTGTTTGGATGGGAGACCACCAAGGATGTCTGGAGTTGCCACGGAGAGGCAGGCAACTGCAACTGCAACCCACCTCTGAACGCCTCCAGTCCCAAAAACCCTAGGGGGGGGGTCTTCCTTAAGTCAGCTGTGACTTGACAGCAAAAAAGAAAGAAAGAAAAAAAAATCTGATATTAGGGGTGGAGGTGGCTGGAGGGAACCAGCTGCAAATGGGCCAGAAATCCTTACCTTCATCTCCGTGCCTGGGCTGATGTCCGCTGTCAGACCACTGCTGCATCACTGGATAGTATCTGACTGGAGCTAAGAGGAAAGGCAGGGTTAATAACAAAGTGAATAAACAAATCTAACCCAATGCTGCCTATTTTGACGGGCAGTGGCTGCCTCCTCTTGGGTCTCCGGCTGAGAAAAAAGGCCTTTCCAAAAGCCAGGGAGCCTGCTTAACTAGAGATGCCAGGGACAATTTGTTCATTTAATTAATTAAGTACCTGTTCAGGAACTCAGGGCAGTGTACACGATTCCACCCCATTTTATCCTCATCATAATCCTGTAAAGGAGGTGGGGGGGGGGAGTATGAGCGTCAGGTCACCCAGTGAGTTTCACGGCAAATGGGGATTTGAACTTTGTTCTCCCAGGTCCCCACTGTGCCGGCCAGGCTGGGAACCGGCTCTATGTAAAGGGTGTGCTCTACCACTGAGCCACCGTGGCTCCTTCCAACCCAGTAACAAGCAGACATAACAAAGTTGCCTTCGACTGAATCAGACTTTTGACCCATCCAAGCCTGTACTGTTGGCTTTGAATGACAGTGGCTCCCTGGGATCTCCGGCACGGAAAGGGTCTTTCACGGCTCCTGAGATCCTTCTGATCAGAGTTTCCAGCAAGCAGCGCAGGTGTTCTGCCACTGAGTCACAGCCCTTCCCAAGGGCTACCGAAAGAAGGCAAATCTCTCTCAGATCAGAATGAACAGCATTTGGGTGCAAAGTCAAGATACCAATAAGCCATAGACAGCCATGAGTGTATAATGGTAATTAGTGGAGTGACTTGTTCTACAAACCGTACTACAGGCCCCACAATCCTCACACCGCACAAGGTGTGTGTGTGTGTGTTCACATGTTCCATTATTGCACTGTACTGCTTCCCTGGGAGGTGGTGGTGGACTCTCCTTCTTTGGAGGTTTTCAAACAGAGGCTAGATGGCCATCTGACAGCAATGCTGATTGTGTGAATTTAGGCAGGTCATGAGAGGGAGGGCAGGAAGGGTTGCCTCAGTGCTTAGTTCTCGAGGCCCTTTCTTACATGCCCAGGGAAATGCCAATCACCACTTTGGGGTCAGGAAGCAATTTTTCTCCAAGCCAGTTTGGCTGGAGATCCTGGAGGTTTTTTGTCATCTTCTGGGCATGGAACAGCGGTCACTGGGTGTGTGGAGGGGGAGGTATTTGTGAATTTCCTGCATTGTGCAGGGGGTTGGACTAGATGACCCTGGAGGTGCCTTCCAACTCTATGATTCTAATATCGTAATTTCCCTGGATGCTAAATTTCGAATCCTGACGGCCCTTTTAAAAAATCAAGTTTCTAGCACATGTGAAACTGCCTTATATCTCTTCTCCGATGACTGAGGTAGAGATCTTTCCCATCACCTGACCCTTTTCACTGGAGATGCTGGGGAATACACCCGGGACCTCATGTGTGCAAAGCACACATATTTATGTATTTATTTATTTGAAACATTTCTATGCTGCCATTCAACCCAAATGGGGGCAGGGGTCATTTCGTAGAAAAAGAGGTGCAGGAGCTCATTAGCATAACTCATTAGCATGACTTATGTGCATATGCCACACACCCTGACATCACCGGAAGTGTGTCAGAAGGCAACACCCACTGCCCAGGCTCCACTGGACTGTTTTGGATTGCTAGCTATTGGGGGGGGGGGGGGGTGAGAGCTTGTACCTGAATAAAACTTGGTCTTAAAGGTGCCACTGGACTGTTTTGGACCCGGGGGGGGGGGACTCTGCAACTTACCTGGCTGCTTCTTGCTCTGACTGAGGGCTGCTGGGAGCAGGGGGTGGGGCTTGTTGCATGTGCCTGCCCCCTGGGCTCTTTACTGCCAGAGCTCCGCTCCTGTGCGCTCCTGCAGGAAATGACCCCTGAATGGGGGTCTCTCCCAAAGACGCTGAACATCAGAACATTTAGCCCTGACCTGGATAGCCCAGGCAAGCCCGGACCCGTCAGATCTTGGAAGCTAAGAAGGACTGACCCTGGAAAGTATTTGGATGGGAGAACGCCAGAGAATACCAGGGCCGGGAGGCCAGAGGCAGGCTATCAAGCCACCTCTCTGAAGGTCCTCCATGCCCCAGTAGGAGTCGCCAGAGGTCGCCATGACTTCCAGGCATGGACACACACATGCGCGTGCACACACAAAAGGCAACTCCCTCCCAAAATTTACAACATTTCAAACATTCAAATAGCATTTTAAATATTTAAACAATTCAATAAAAAACACAAACATACAAATATTAACACAACTGGGGAGGAGGAGTGTACTGGGGGTTCGCCAACCATAAGGAAAAAAGTCTTCACCTGCTAACTGAAGGCAATGATAGATGGAGGCAGATCGATCTCCCTGGGGGAGGGAGCTCTAAGGTTCTGAAGCCACGACTGAGAAGGCCACTTGAAGTGGAGTCTCTGAAGATGACCAGAGTGGACAGGTAGATTCATATGTGAAAAGGTGGTCCTTAAGGTATGCCATCCCCCAAGCCATATAAGGCTTTAAAGGTCAACACCAGCACCTTGAATTGGACCCAGAAGCAAATAGGGAGCCAGTGTAGATGGGCCAAGACTGGAGTCGTGCAATGCTCCCTCTAAGCTGCAGAGTCTTGTGAGCAAAAATTCTACTTTGTGATCTACTGGCATTAAAGTTGTGAGCGGTCGATTTAGCTACTGCCTAAATTAGTTTGCTCTGAGGCCATCCTTCCTGAGGTAAGACAAAAATGTGTGCGCTGGAGGCTAAAAAACTGTGAGCTAGCTCACACTAACTCAGCTTAGAGGGAACACTGTGAGTGATATGGTCCCTATGGCCCACTGCAAGCCAGCATTTTGGCGGCAGCATTCTGTACCAATTGTGGCACAGAAAACTGCCCTTTCACCAATCTGACGACTGGCCCATCTGACTGGTAGCAGCCTTCCAGGGTATCCCATCGATCAAGGTCTTCCCCAGCAGGAGTTACCATCTGCCTCGTCCCTATCCCAGCCTTGCATGGTCCATCCTGCACCATGTTGAGGCTTCCCACCAACATTAGTATATGGTGCCTACCAAGTATTTTTAGAAAGTGGGTGGGGCCAGATGGGGCTTTTGCCCAGCAGATCAAATGATTGGCCTCTGGAGAGCTGATAGAAGGAGGAGGAGGAAGAGATTGGATTTATACCCTGCCCTTCACTCAGAGTCTGAGAGTAGCTTACAAACTCCTTTCCCTTCCCCTCCAAACAACAGACACCCTGTGAGGTAAGTGGGGCTGAGAGAGCTCTGACAGAAATTGCTCTTTTTCAAGGACAGCTCTGACAGAACTATGACTTGCCCAAGGTCATCCAGCAGCTGCAAGTGGAGGAGTGGGGAATCAAACCCGGTTCTCCCAGATTAGAGTCCGCGCACTTAGCCACTACACCAAATTGACTGAGCAGATATTTCTAAAAATTGCTTTCGATGACAGCTGCAGGGATCTTCACTGCATGACTGAAGGTAAGCTGTGTATAAATGCCTAGCATGCAGAGAGAGCTTCAGTTGGCAGCTGAGCCTTATTCAGAACGACAGGATCCATGTGGGAGAGAAACTGCACAGAGGCTCAGAATGTACTGAAAGTTTCAGTCGGAGAACCAACCTGATACAGCACAAAAGA